ATACTTTTCTGCTGGATGGTTAAGACCAAGGTAAAGCAGGACCTATGCAACAAGAGTTGTAGCATTTTTGACAGGGTAGGAAGAACATCAAGCCTGCTCAAGGACTCCTAAGCTCGTATCTTGGTGTGGCTGCTCATGAAGGGGAGCTCACCGGACTCAGTTTCCTCTTCTGTAACCTAGTGGTGATCCCATCCCAATCCTCTATTGAGACGTAAAGATTGCAGGGCAAGGGAAGAGGATTTAGCATGCTGACATTACTCTGTAAACCCAAGCTTCTGAGGCCATTCATTTAGTTTGTTTTGTTTGGTAATGGGAGTTGAACTCAGGGCATCTTCCCTGAGCTACTTCCCAGCCCCTTCTTTAAATTTCAGAGACAGAATCTTGCTGAGTTGCCTAGGAACTTGCAGTCCTCCTGCCTCAATCTCCTGGAACTCTGGGATTACAAGTGTGCACCAATAAGCCTGACTCTGTATTTTTTTTTAAGTTAAAAAATCCAAAGTTTGTTTTCACTGCTGAGAGACCAAGTAGCCAGGAAGATGGCTTAGTCTGCCCTCTTTGTTTGGATGTAACTCTGAGAGGAAAAGGAGCTGCCCAAGGCCACACAGCAAGCTCGTAGCACAAACCAGATTAGAAACAGGACCTGTTCCATTGCTCTCTGCTTCTGGAGACAGCTGGCATTACTGCTGTTCCACCTTGCCAAATCTGAGACCTTTCATCTCTAGAACACAGAGGTGGGGGAGAGTTCCAAGTACAGGTCAGCCTGTGTTCTCAGGCATGTCTGGGTTTGAGCCCCAACTCTTCCACTTACTAGGTGTAGTCTTGGGGAAATGCATCAGCTCTTGTGAAGCTTAGTATCTTTTTACCCCCTTTTTAACATCTTGAGATAGGGTCTTACTAAGTCATTAAGTTGTGCCTGAACCTGTGATGCTCCCGCCTCAGCCCCCAATAGTACTGGGATTTTTAGGCATGTGCCATCACACCTGATGAATTTTTTTGTTGTTAACCCACAAATTTGAATTCATAAAATCTCTTTAAAATGGTTTTTGTGAGGATAAAATGAAAAAAAAAGCACGTAAAACACACTATACGATGGCAAAATTAATTTCCTTATATATCTAAACTGATAATCTGTTTATCCCATTGCGTGTGAATATTCTTTTATTTTGCTGCAGAAATATTAACATGTTTGATTACTGGGGAGGGGGTGCTACCACATTTTTCTACGAGCTAATTTAGCATGGTATATGCACCAAATTACCTTTTTAAAAATCTGAATATTTCATAATTCTAAAACATCTGGCTCCAAACTTTCAGATAACACACTGTGGATCTCTTATGGTTTGTTAAATAATTTAGAAGATATTATTTGT